GCCGCGGCAGGGAGCGGGCGAGGGCGGCGGCCACGCGGGCGGAGAGCATCGCGGCGGGTGGCGGCGGCTGCGGACAGGACGAGACGCGACGCGGCTGCCGGCCCCGCGCTCGCTCCACAAAATGGCCGCCGCGCGCACCGCCCCTTTTGGCGGCGACGCCCCGCCCCCCTCCGCACGGAGGCGGGCGGGGCGGGAGCGGCCGCGACCTGGAAGCGCTTCCCGCAACTCTCCTTCTAAAGGCCTTCCTCCCGCSCCCCCCAGCTCCGGAAAAAGTACAGGAAAAGAGGAAAAGTTGCTTCAAAAAAGAAAAAAAAAGCGGCGTCCTTGAAACGGCCCCTGGCGCGGCCCCGCCCCCCGCGCCGGCCCCGCCCCTCGCGGCGTGACTACAACTCCCAGGAGGCACCGCGGCCGGGGGGGGGGGGGGGGGCAGGGGAGGAGGCGGGAAACTCGACGCGATGGAGGGCGCCATGGAAGCGAAGCTCCAGCGGGTAATGCGGCTCCCCCGCTCCTGTGACGGGATGCGGGGTGTCCAGTGCTGTGGCCATTTTATCTTCTGTAATGCTCTTTATACCAGCTGCTTAAGTGACTTTTTACGTTGTCAGGTACTTTTTGTTCCTTCAGTCACTGTTTGCTGTCTCCCCCCAYGCCTTTTCTGGCAGGTTACCTCATGGCTAAAGACGATCTTCGGGGATGAGCCCGTTCCTCAGTATGAAGTGAACGYGCAGACCGTTGACATCCTGTACGAGCTCGCCGAGAACAACGCGGCCCGGGACAGGGACGTCACGCTGCTCATAGAGGACATGAACCAGATGGCAGCAGAGTACGAGGAGGAAGGTGAGCGCCAGGCTGCAGCGCTCACTCCCATCCACGTTAGAGAGTTTATTTTGAGATCTCCTTGCTGGGCTGGATRGCACTGAAGTATTGGCTGGATAGGCAGCTGAGCAGCCTGGCTGTTGATTTAGGGATTTGAGCTGGTGCTCCTGTTCAGGAAAGTACTSCAGGAATCTCAAATAGCTACAGCTTAGCTTATAATAACACATAATAACTTTGTTTCTTTCCTTTTTTTTTCATAATAGCTTCGTTATTATGTGGAGTGCGTGCTCGTAATGTGTGTTCCAACCAGGAACGTGACAGAAGTTTGGCACTTTCAAGTCTTCTTSACCTCTAGCTTCAGAGGGTGCCCTCTAGGGCTCAGAACAACAGTGCTGGAAAAGTGACTAATTTGGCTTCTATTTATTTTTCAGCCAAGTATCTACAGGATCTTCTCGCAAGAAGCCTGGACTTTTCCTTGACTAGTCTCTCCACTGAGGGCACAGGTTACCTCAATGAGCTGGTAAACACTGCCCTAACTCTCGAGATAAAGGACACTTCTCTTGCCAGGTAGTTCTCCCTGCTCTGTGTGAGGGGTGATGGCCTGTGTTGTTGCTCCGTGGCTTTCTTTGAATCCAGCTTTTTTGTCCAGCTTTTTTTGTACCACTCGGGCAACTTTAAAGGATGTGAGAACTGCAAAAAGCTGCAACCCTTGATTCCCTTAGAAAGGGAATTCTCTGAGGTCCGAAAGTTTAAACCCCAGCCTTGGATTTTTGTTTTGTTTTTATGGTCTTCAGGAGCTTCATTCTCCTCCTGAGCAAAGGAGCAGGCAACTATGAGCCGCTTAAGAGGAGGAGGTGACTGAAGTACTGCTGGGCAGGTCCCAAGGATATGTGATTTCAATACAGTTTCTCTTGTGTGGCTTGGCCAACTAGGAGGGAAGTTCTTGAGTATTTCATGTTTTGGGGTTATATTTGCTAGAACGCCCGGTCTTGCCCGGCCCTTTGGCTATTCAGACTCTTGGGCCATTTCTCCTTCCACGTGAAATCTTTGTTAATTAAGGGAAACTTAACAAATAGTTTGTGGGAAGTATGTGTGTGRGGGGGAAATAATAATGAGTTTTGGAAGAGCTGGCTCCTTATTCCTTCTCAATCTCTCGTTGGACTAGTTCCATCGCTGCAATGAATGACCTGAGTTGGGATCTGTATGACACAGAATCAAAAAACAGAGAATTGGAACAGGAATTGAACAGCATTAAGAAAAAGCTAACTGCAGCACTGGTGCTGGAAAAACGGCTGCAAGAGTGAGTAATGGATCATAAAATAAAAGATGTGAACAGTATTGCTGATCTCTGCAGTGGGTACTTCGGTTGTGACCACTAGCAAGGGTCACTGAATTTGCAGGTTTATGATGCATCTCTAATTCACAGTATTGACACCATCTATCCAGAGGTATGTGCTATCAGCATGTCCAGTAATCAAGAGATGGGGAGTACCATCAAATACATTATTTTAACCTCAAAAGGGACTAACAGTACTTGTCAGACACGGGCTGGTGTCTTCCACTGGTTGCTTTCAGCTGAAGTTGAACTTATTTTGCTTACCACAGTTAGTGTGGGTGTTGCTGTCAAAATGAAGGTGGCAGGCAAAACAGAAGAAGAAATAGAAAAGATTTCTAGATAAAAATCTTCAACCAATGCATTGGAGATAAAAGCAAACAAATGCAAAAAATCATTCCCTAAAGGATGTAATCTATTTGAAATGTTTGGCAAAGCAGAGGAGCATCAATCCCTGCTTTAAGTRGGCATTGATCCCCAAGATAGCCACAGGTTTTCTTGTTTGTTTGCTTGTTTTATTTAAAGCTGTAACTGTGATTCTACTTGTAGCAGAGATACTGTAGCTGTGTCCTCACCTAGGTTTGCAAGGGCCCTTTTCTGCTTTTAAGTTAAGCTTAGGCAAGGCTCTGATTAATAAAGTGCACAGTGCATTAGGGAGAATTACTCTGTCCTGTTAGGCAAATGGTCTTAATTATGAATGTGCTGGCATCTCTTGGAATGTAGAGGTTTGCTTGCTTTTTTATTTTTAAGGGATCTTAAAAAAACACAGGAACATTTGGAGGTGGAAAAAGCAAAAGCTGAGAGCCGAGCCCAGAACTTGAAGTTCCTGAAAAACAAAGCCGAGGATTTCAAAATCAGGATCAAGACTGCTGAGGTAGAGGGGAGACGTTTTCTCATGAGACTTTCTAAAGCCCAAAACTGTATTAACTCAGTTTACATTAGCTCATGTAATTATTATTAGCTCATTTACTCTGATGTGCTGTAATATAACAGTCAACAGCAGCTGTAATATAACAGTCAACAGTCAATATATACAGTCAACAGCAGAGCAGCTGACTAACTATGGTTGCTCATGTGTCAAAATTCTGAATATAGCCATTTTTTTTTTGAGATTAATGAATGGTTAGGCATTGAAGGCACACGTTGTTGCATCATGAAGAATTTGTGAATGTTTTATGCAATTCTTGGACATGCCAGTATTTGTCCTCAGACAAATTYGAGGAGGAAGTCATTGCATTAGACAAATGACACTTTACTGGAAAACCTCTCACTAGCCTTTGCAAACGCTCACCCCCCACTAGTTTTCTGAAAAGATTAGTAGTAGCCAATTTCATATACCTGCTAGATCTCCRGTTCAAATTGCACATGTTGTTAGCAAATTGTGTTGATATTTTGATCAAAACCTGAGTCAATGGCAACATCTTTCCCCTTTTTTAGGAGCAACTGGCAGCCACTGGCTTGGACCAGTCTTTGACACATCAGTCGTTGGTGAACCTGGCTGAGGTAGGTTGTTAGCTACAGGATAAAAGTTTCAGCAGTGTCACGGCCAGTTTTGTGTTGGGTGGTTCCASGAAATGTATTTTGTCATTTAATTACCCAAATGGAAAAACAGGCCCAATATCTGAACTACTGTGACCACCTTCTTGTGGCTTTAATGTAATGTTTTTGGATGTAGTGTAAGCACAGTAGGCTAAAAGCTAAAGGAAACAGCATGTTTCTTGCATTACTAAGCATTTCTTTCTTCTTTTTTTTTTTTTTTTTTTACCCTTCTCTTTTCATTTATTTTCCTGCTTGTTAGTTATTTTGAATAACAGTTGTCTTGATGATGTGATTCTCCTGAACCAGCACTGGGTGGCAATGTTTACATTGCACAGTATTTCAGAAGAGTACTAACCAACAATCATTTGCTTTGGAATTTTACATATTAAAAAAATATAGGAAATTTCCTGTAGGTCTTAAGTTTTGTCTGACCTTTGYATTCCTTTATAAAGGAAGAAAAATGAATTTATACTTCAATGTTAAATTTGAGCTGAGTTTGACCAACTGGTAACCGTGATAACTAAAGGAATGGTAGATACTTATTTTTCCATAACTTCTGAGAAAGATCATCAGAGCTCTAACCAACATGGGTGTATTCTGAAATGCTGTAGACACTTGTAGATCTATTTAATTGATTTACATCATGTACACAAGTAAGACTAGAATAAAATCTACTGCTTTGCTCTGTTCACAGAATCTATCTGAATTAAATAAAGAAGTTGAGTCTTTGAAGAAGAAACTGGAGCCCTACTACGATTTAACTCCCGTAATATTTTTTTTTCTCTGTTCTATTGTATCACCATCAGATTCATGTTAGTGATGTTCGGATTGTAAAGGTTACTGTTGCAGTGCTTCCAGTGGACAAATATTTGCTTTTTTTAAATCTCCACAGGTCTGTTAATGAACTGTCTAAACAGAAGATTGTGCTAAAACAAAAGGCCATGTATTTGTTGATGGGGTAAACCAAGGAACTAAGTGTGTTTACCAAGCAAACTGTTTCCTTCTAAAAGAAAAAAAAATGCCTATGAATGTGACAGGAATAGAATAGCTGGGTGAGCTCAATATCAAGATGAACTAAACAGAAATTGGAGAATTTTGGAGGAGGAATCAAATGGCTGAGTATAAAAATATCTAAGATTKAGCAATGATTTTATGCATACTGATCAGGCTGTCTGTGTGGTGGACACAACACACCATGCAGGAGCTGCAGCTCTGAGCAAGACTTGAAAGATTATGACAAACACACAAGCGTAGGCTCTGTTTCCTAAACAGGTATTTTGGCTTTTGGGTACTGGCTGCTGCAGTTCTGTGGAGGGTGCTGGATGCCCAGCTCTTCCTAAAAGCAAGTCTCATTTGGGTAACAGAGCTGCTCTTTTGAGAGCCCCTGTCTGTGCATCTCTTCCTTTTGAGTTTTGGTTATTGTCGTTACTGGTCACTGCGTTAGGAGCACTATGAAACACTCTTTATTTGAAGGACTTTGGTCATTTCAAATCAGCAGAGCCCTTGTTGCAAAAGCTTTTCAGGTAAGGGGACTTCTGTAAATACAGAGACTTAAAAAAATTGCGGGTAATTGAGGCTTATTAGTTCCTAAAACAAAAGGCCTTGGTTTTGCCTGCTCTACCCATTGTCTCTTTGTAATTCTTGGGACCACTGAAAATATTTCCCATTTCCTTTGAAAAATGCCTTTACCGTTATGGATGAWTGTTAAGGTTGTCTCTCTTTGCCATGTTTCCCCGGAACACCAGTAACTGGGGGGAAATGTGGAATGGCTTTTGATTTTATTAAATAAACCTGTAATCTAGACAGCCACAGTTGTAATTAACTTGCCCAATAAGGCCCCTGCTGCCTCTGCATCTAAGTATCCAAGAGCCTGTAATAGAGCTCAGCTCCTAATCATTCTGTGTGAGAGGATAAGGAGACTGAAAGTTTTTATGAATGGGGCACAGAGGTCCAGACAACTGAAGACTTGGCCAAAATTACACAGAAAATCTATGGTGAATTAAGTCTCTTGTATTATAGACCAGAGACTTGCCTGTGGGACTGCCTGTCCCTCTTCACCTTCTCAGTCTGTGCATGGAGTTTCTGCCTCTAAACACCCCAAGGGAGATGGATGCTCTMTCTCTGTCCAAGAGGCAGCTGCCATGATTCTCCTCGAGCAAAACAGGCCATTCCGATTGGATTAGGTTCAATTCCCTGCTGCCCCTCTCTTGCTGCTAGTGGAGACAGGGAGGGCCCTGGTGCCTCCTTTCTGATGCAGGCAGCGGGAGGAAGAGAGACAATCCGTGCACACTGCTAGAAGCTTTTTGGGTCTTGGAAGATTAAAGATATGTTTAAAATCCAGTTCCTTGACTAGCAGTTGTAGGAAATCTGTGTTTTCCTAGTAAGACCTAATTTCTACACTTCAGAAATGTACATGACTGCCCAAACCAAATGATGTCAGTACTTTCTGGGTGTGAAGAGTGTACACAAAACCGATTTCACTATTGCCAAATTCCCCTACAGCACGACAGTAAAGTCTTGCAGTGATACAGGGATTCTGTGATTCATTCCAAAATCCTGCTTTTTATTCCTTCTTTTTTTTTTTTTTTTTYTTTTCTTCAGAATCCTTCCCTTGTACAAGTGAAGATTGAAGAAGCAAAACGGGAACTGGTAAGAGCTTATATGTTTTCATGGAGGCTTAAATGGGCGCTGTCATTCCAAAACATGCTCTATGCATTAGTTGGTTGTGGATTTATCTACRCAGACTGCAGTCTTAATGATCTCCAGAGGGAAATAGTATTTTGGTAAGGTAGAAGTAGTACCTATTGGTAGGAGGAACTGTTGGAGCCATGAAGTCTGACACTGCAAAGACAGTTGGATGTAATGGTAAGTGAGGCTTAGGTAGCTCAGTCCCTCTGGATTTGGTCTGCTTCACCTGCCAGAGTTTCCACTCATGTTGCAGCTGCCTGGTCCCTTGCCCTTCATTGACACTTCTGAATTCTCAAAAGGCAGCAAGGCCTATGTTTTATTTAATATCTGAATTCTCAAAGGGCAATAAGGCCTGTGGTTTTTTTAATAACTGCCTTGTGGCCTGCAATAGAAACCTTCCCCTTTAAAACACCATGCCAGATTGTCCATGCTTGCACAGCCTACAAACCGGAGCGCTGGGAGGTGTTTCATCTAAAGCTGTTTTGGAAGCTCATATGTAGCTTTTCAGGAAGAGCCAGGCCCCGTTTAGGCACAAAACCTGTCTTTGTCTTTAGGCTATGTCCTGTTTGCTTGTAGACACAGTGTAGGGTGTCAGTGATAAGCCTTAAAGCTGTAGTCAGAATCCTGGTTTCCTGAGAGTACTTGATACATTTTTGATGCAACTGCATGGATTGGTGAGGGACCTATTTTTGTTGCCTAAATATAAATCCACTTTACCAAGCTGAGGCCTTTATCAGGTCAGAGTGCTCGCTCTGGAGTAAGTGCCTACCTGTTCATCTTGCARGTCCCTCTCGGACACAGTATAAAGGCCATTCATCTCATTTAGCCCTTCACTTGATTCTTTGTAGTTCTTGGAAAAGGATTTTTTCGTTTACGCTGTAAGCTTAGTAATAAAAATCCTCCAATTTATCACCTATCTGTGTCATGTTGCAAGAAGCTCAGAGATTGGGGTGTCAAATTGCATTTCTGTTCACCCTGGAAGTTGTTTCTAGAAGCTCTGCACCCCGAGGCCTGCAGGGCTTCATGGCCTGCGGGTGTCTGAAATACCCYGCATGGTCCATGCACCTGGATTGAAACTTCACTGCTACAGCACAGATGTGAGGCTGACACAGCACACATTGAGGCTAACAGACCTGTTTGCCTTATTATGTTCATATACATTTGATGCATAAAATGCCTCATTTAATTCCTTAGATTACATTTGGAAACTGCACTGAGTGCAGTGCAGTGTTGAAAAGTACCAGGCCTGTTCTTTGGTGGATTGCTAACTTCAAAGTCACTTACCTTGTCAAGCTGCCATTTGCAGGAGTAGAGAGAACTTAAGAGTTCACTGTGAGAGTTAACTGGTGCTAATGGTGATACCAAGATCTGGTCTTTGTAGAAGTGTTGGTCTAACAAGAATGTTAGGCAACTGCTTTGCAGTCACTGACTGTTCTTGGTTCCTTCCCTTGCTAGAATGCCTTGGAGGCAGAGCTGGCCAAGCAGATTGACAAGCTGACTCTTTCCACGGTGGAATCCAGCGAACTCTTCACATAAGATGCAGAAGATGAAACGGTGCCCTGTCCAATAGTCTCTTTATTTGCACTTGTAAAATCTCTCAGATTTGTGAATGCCCTTGTGCAGCTTTTTGCCTTTCTCTTCTTGCTCTTGGATGGCACACCTGTGATCTTGCAGCTTATCTTGCAGAATTTGAAGACAACTTCTAGGCTTATGTCTAAAGATCATGTAAATGTGGGCATTTTGGGCATCAAGGTATTTATCTGCTCCCTTCCATTTAATGCCTTTAGCAAGGAATTGATATATTAATCAAAATGTCTCATATGGAAAATTTGACCTGGTACTCGGAGTAGTATCTCCTGGAGCCCAAGTCTTGCAGTGTGAGATAGGCAACCAAGGGAAGTTTCTTTTCTATGTGTGATTGGTTGTCTCCTCTCTTGGCAATGAATTGAGCCCTAACTTAACTCATGTGGGTCACAGTGAGTAACAAATTTTATCACGTATTTCACTCGGTAATAAATTTTACCACTCATGAGGGTGGGTAAAAGCACTGACTCTCTAAATATCCCGGTTGTCTTTGCAGTCTGAAAAAAAAACAAATTCCTTGAACTGAACTGTAGGATTTGTCCTTGTTCTAGACTTTGTCTGTTGTTGGCAACTTAAAAAAAAATCATAAGTAGCACTAAGAAAGTGGTAGTAGGAAGAGAGCTTTAGAGATAGTAATAGCTTTGCAAACAAAAAATGGGCTTTATAGTAAGAGCTTTCTAGGTCTGAAAATGTATAGATATTTTTGCAGATCTACTGGGATATGGTCATTTTTAACATAGGTTGTCACTTCTAACACTGTCTTCTCAAATCAATCCCTAGCAGCCACCTCCTCCCTCTATGTCACGATCACCATCAACACCCTCTGCTTGTAAAAGCTTCTCGATACTGAAAGGCAAGACCCAAAAGCTCCTGGGGGAAGAAACAAAATCCATAAATTGTGGCAATACCTGAGAACTGAGCACAGATTGAGCACCTTCTGCAATGGGCAGTGTCCAAGCAGGAGCAATGCAGGTAACTTTGCAATTAGAGTTAAGGCAGTGGTGCTATGCCTGTCCCCAGCAGCTGTTAACTTGGGTCAATGTAGGAACTGGTCTCACTGATTTGCAGCAAGGGATGTTCTTTTTTCGGTTGTTCGAGCTTGTCCCTTGAAGCAATAGAACTGTGAGATCCTTATCTATGATAATCCTTAACGTAGGGTGCATCTCTGATGATAGCCCAGAACCTGCAAGCTCCAAACAMCACCAGCTGGAATAAACTGCTGCAGCCTCATGGCCTTATGTCCTTCCCCAGCTATTCCTTTCACCTTCCCAGGGAAAAACGGAAAGATGCCCTGGGAGCTGAGACATCTGTGGGAATCTTCTGCCTCTTCCATAGAAGGCCTAGATGTCAAAGACATCAAACAGCGTTTAGGTAGGCACAAGRGAGCAGTTTAAGAGGGAAAGTCATTGTCAGGCCCCTGAGTTCATGGCCAGCAATAGTTGGGGCATCTTAATTAGTGGAGGTTTTAAGAATAGAGCAGAAATGTTTTGGTTAAACGTTTATAACGCTAGGGGAAGTCGATGGTGCTTTGGCAGAGGGAGAAGGATTCATTCAGCTTTATCAGGGCCCTTTAACATCTCTCAGCTCTTCAGTCAGGACGGAGCCTCACGGATCTTCATCCCGGGCATCACATGCCAAYGTGGGAGCCCCTCGTGGAAGCAGCAGCTCACAAGGCTGAGCAGAAACCACCTGGTTTTGAACCGAAACGGATCTGTTTAAAGGAAAACTTGCGGGTGCTAAAACAAGCATAACAAAACACTAGAGAAATGTGAAATACAGGGGGCAGGATTAAGGCTGGCAAGTTGAGATATATCCTTACGTGACTACTCAAAATGTGTTGACTGAAGCAGTGCGTGTGGAAAGCGTTTTGGCGGTATAATTCAGCTGCATTTTAGTGGTCCGTATCGTAGAAATTTTATAGTTGTTGCAAACGTCCCACTGCAGTTTTTTTCAAGCGTCCTTTGAGCGAAAGCGCTGAGAACTTTTTCCGTTTGCATCAGCCCCTATTTCGGCAGAAACAGACCAATAATGTGGCTGTTACTTGTATTTTTTTGCAGTTAAGCGAACAGAAAACGTACCAAAGTCTTAAAAAAAAAAAAAAAAAAAA